AATTATGCGCCGCCGACGCTGCAAGGGGGTCCCGCTCCCGCCTCGTTCGACCCCCCACGAGGTTTTCGCAATGATACAGTCGCGATCTGCTGATCGTTGGCTATCATAAAAATGCAAGAAGCAAAGCAGCAAGCAAAAGGCAAACAAACGAGAAGACTGATCGAAATCAAACTTTGATTAGATACTTGGAAACATTTTTTTATCGCATTATCAATAGATAAACTTACTCGACTTCAGAAGCAAAGGAGTTAAATAATGCATTAACATTTTCATCTATATATCTTTTTTTCAGTTTCAAAGACGAGTTATGTGAAATTTATGCACAAATGTATCGTGAATAATTGTATTACCGGCAGAAAATTACTATCTAGCAGCCGAATAATATTACAAGCTTACAAAGATTTACACGCAAGTATGAAAACTTCTAGTTGCACCGATCTCGTCTTCTAAATGCTTTCAATATCAGTTTTATTTTCGTTAGTGAATATAAATAATGATTTTCAGTTTAAAACGAGAAGGAAAAAGAAAAATGTAATTTGTAGCAAAAGAGAAAAACAATAAGCGAAGTGAAATTAGAAGAAATAAGTTTCCTAATCGATTAACTATCTACCAGCGATACCTCGACGTTATAAAAAAACATCAATCGACAGTTATTCGCGACGAGAATGTTACAAAACAAAAGCCACTTACCTATGTAGTGACAGGTATAATCATTCTCCACCGTCGCCGGACGCTGTCATCCCCCTCAGGACTTAGTTAAGCGCGATCGTCGGACTTAGCGCTCGCTAATTGGTGGGTGCTTTTAATTACAGAGCCGGCGGCAACATGCACGACGGTTCCTTCACAGAAACGTTACGGACGATGCAGGGCATGACGGGAGCGTCGCCTCCGGGCGCCGGCGTCGCTCACATGGGAGTTGGCCTTGGTAGTCCGCTAAACACAACGGGTAAAAAGGCACAAGTGCAAGAACACATCAAGCGGCCGATGAACGCCTTCATGGTTTGGTCGCGGCTACAGCGACGGAAGATTGCACAGGAGAATCCCAAAATGCACAACAGTGAAATTTCGAAGCGCCTCGGTAAGTACACATCTAAATTTTACCGACTTCGATTTTATTGCGGCGAATACATCTGCGAAAAAAAAATGAAAAATCTATCTAAGTGGAAGCTCGTTTTGCCTACATTTCTACGCAGATACCTATTTTTATTTTTTTATTTCTTTAACCTACAACTTTAGTTGAGAAGTTTTTCTTTTAGAAAACTATTAGTAAAAAATGTATTATAAATATATTATATAAATATATTATATAAATATATGAATGTTTAATAAATATGCATGAATGTTTCAACACAATTTCTTTAATCAAGAAAGACTGTCGTGCCTCGCGTTAAATTCACGCGTAGCACAACTAAGGACCGGCCGGGGTGTCTTTATAAATATTGTTGGGCGCAAAATAAGTGACGTAAATGTACACCGTTCTTCGAAAAGTTCTCCAACATTACAATGCTTTAACACGGCAATGTAATTTCGTAAAATATAAGAAACCGTATGTTTACCGTTTCATGAAGAATATGCCAAATCGCATTTTATTCGCGACTTTGGCAAAAATCTTCGACACAGCGAGAATTGTTCAGCGAACAATCGAGACTATTCCATTCTGCCGGGACATATTATTCCTCGTCGCTTCCTGCACGAACGACTTCGCGCACACGTCCGCATGATTTAGCTGCCGACGTAGATATTCCGCCTAGTATTTCCGTTAAATACCCCAGTCGACAAAGCACCTTCCGCAACTCCCTCGAGCTCCTTTATCCGTCATTTTCTTCCTCGCCTCGCGCACCGTCTATCCCCTATTTTTCGTTTCCCCGGCGACGACGAATAAGGGAAGCGTCTCCACCTCCTCATCCTCGTCCTCCTTCTCCTCCTCCTCGGTAAAAATGATGCGCACGCTCGAACCTTCGGTGTGCACCACCCCCTTTCTATTTCCCATCCCTCTTCCCTCCCTCCTTACCCCGGCCGTCCTTATTCTCCACCGTGCTTCTTCCTCCGCGTTTCCTCCTTTGTCGATGCGACACTCTTCCGTCGCTCTTTCGCCGCCGGAGCATATTTTCGGATGATACACATCCACTTCGTCGCGACATTCGCGGATTTCGTTCTTTTTTTTTCTCCTCCGACGCCGAACTCCTACGCAAGACGACGAAAAACTCCCGAGCGCACACTCTCGGTGATCGGAATTTAGTCGGCGAATGCGCGGAATGTCACGCAGTGCCCTTTTTTCGATCCGGAAGAATGCACGAATGCTTCGACTAGCCGTACAGAAATTTTAAGAAAAATCAGACAAAGTTCTAAGCAAAGAAAACATTTCATTGCAATTTCTAACACTTTCTAATCAATTTCCAATAATTTAATGATTGACTAAAAAACTGACTGGAAAATAGAAAGCGACATTTAAGAAAATCAAGACAACTCTACACTCACAATTTTATTTCGATTTTATATTTTATTAAAAGAGCCTGCAACATGATTATTTTTCAAATATTAAATCTGCCGAGATTTCTCCGTGATTTCTCGATTAGCTTTTTGAAGTAGCAAATCGTTGAAATTCCCTCGTTTTAATTCTCTGATTCTTAGAACCTCAATATTTGCAATTGGCAATTGATTTCGAATTTCCGATCAAACACTCTTCTCAATGTAAACACTTCCCACTTCGCCGTTGACGCAAGTGCCTGAAATAATTCCAATCCTAAAGCGTGATAAAGCAACCGCCGGTTTTACTGCGTCAATTAGTTGATGACGATCCGCGCGTTTATCTTCCAAGCCGGCAATTCGCCACGTTTCACGACACCCGCAGGACTATTGGGGGTGAAACCTGAAGAGAGTGATCGCGGGGAGAAGCGCGAGAGGAAGGAGGTTCTTTAAAGTGAGTGCTCTATCGGCGGACGCTTAGAGCTAATCTAGTTATTGGTCCTCGCTGTAATGTTCCTGTTGTGCAACTTGCTCGTCCGAACCTTGCCCCTTTCCCTTTCGAGACTCCACTCGAACGAATGGCTCGAGCATTTCGAGAATGACGGCAATTCCGATCGAGATAGAAAGGTCAAGATAGAAAGCTCGTTCTTAAATAACAACCAAATGCTTTCAACAACTTTCTAATTGTCACACTGCGTGCTACTGATAAAACTATTAATGACGCTGCCAATCGCAAAGAAATAATTCAATTATCGAAAGTAGATGATCTTTAAAATTTGGAAATGTGGAATTTAAAAAACAATTCATTCCAATTTAGTTTTTAAAACTGAAAATCAAGATTTTGGAAATTTAATGCTCTGATCATTAAAACTTTGGATTCTTGAATTTCTAGTATTTTGAGTCTGATAATCTCCGAATTCAATCAATTAGCGCATAAAATCTCACATAGGTATCGCTTTTTGTCGACACTAAATCCACAAGAATATCCAAGCATATTAATTCTACCATTTTGGAAATATTTCTAATTAATTCGTTCTGTTTATTTCTCTAATATTACAATATTATTTTAATACAAGAATCTTCTAAGACAATCCTGTTGCGTGGATAGAGACGGAATTTCACTTTATATATTCTCAAATCCCTCCCAAAGTTATTCCCGACACAATGTTGCGCCGTAAAAACGCACGCACATGATGCAAACACCCCCGAGAGAGGAATTTCACAAAGAGGGCGGGACGAGAGAGAGAAACAGGAGTGGAGAGTGTATGAACACACGCGAGGGCGGCGAGAGGGGTTTCGGTGAAGAAGAGACTCGAGAGAAGCTTTCATCGTAATGAAGTATTTCTGCCGCTTGCCGAAGCCTTGAAGAGAAGGCACACCAACTTCTTTCGGGGACGCGTTAAAGGGACGACTTGTCGGTTTTGCAATCTTCTCTGGAACAGGACGCCCGTCCCGCAGGACAATCCAGTTTAACTCTTTGGCGAGCGTCGTTTCTCGGGCACAGTATTCACGATACCAATCACGCGTAGTAACTACTCGCGATCCTCTCTCGAAGAAGCACGAAACAGCATTACTAGAAATTAGTTTCTATTTTCATTCCGATTTTATAGTGAAAATGAAAGGAAAAGGCCAATTCTCTCGCACTCGTCGCGCTAATAAAATCAAGTGTAAAATGTGATTGCAATTTGAGAATAACGTGTATAACGAAAAATAAGTCGTTATTTTAAGGATACAGTAACGCTCAATTTGTACATTGTTATAAATTAATATTTTACTTGTATTTTATATTTGAAAAACCTGAAATGCGTCACGTAAGATTTGCAACTCAAATAGTTGAAAAATAGTTCCAATGAATCTGAATCAAGTACTCAAATAAAGAATATAGTTTTAAGATTTTCCAAGATTATATACTGCAAATATTCCTTAAAAAAAAAAAAAAATTTGATCAAAAATATAAATTAGAAAAAGTAAAGAAAGATTTAGACTCTTTTTATGCATCCAAAAATTAATGCTTTATAATCTTATGTCCAATTTTCCACAAACTTTCTTTAAACAGAAACAATGCATATCATTATAAGTAGGAAATTATATTTTTTAATTTCTTGACAATTATTTTTATCAATTGTTCTAAATAACAAATAGTAATCAATTGCTATATTTTTACACTAATAACGTTAAAACATCAACAAAAATTTACAATTAATTTATTAGTCAAAATTAATTCGGATCTCAAAAAACATGATTAAAAATGCAAATGCAAAGATCAGAAGAACTAGTTGCAATCCTGCGACTGCGATAAACAAAGAAGAATTACAAATTCTCGTGGATTTTTCACAAGCACTTGATATCAGCAAGCTCCGTCGGCTCGCGGGATTCGTGGAAGAGGAAAATAATTCGCGGAGAACCCCGACGCTGCGCGCTTTCCTATAGAATCGCGGGAACAATAACGCCCGATTGCGACAAAGGCGATATACATAACGCGTATGCAGGTACGCGCGCATCCTCCCGTTCTTCCTTCGTCACAGTCGTGATTAAAAATGATCGTCCCCGAGCGTGCGAGCGCGCGCGCTTAAAGCTCTCGGCTCCCTTAAAAGCTTCCTCTCACTCTCTCACTACTTTGAGCCGTCCGGTAGCCCTTTGTGCCACAAAGGCGGAATTCTCCGCTCCACTTCGAGACTTATGAGTGAAATCCGTTTCCTCAGCGAATTCAACGACGAGCTTCGCACGGAAAGGATTGGAAAAGATCAAGGAGACACAAGAGTGCAGTCGACAGTTCTTTCAAACAGAGTATCGTTTACCTAACGTTTTGGGACGCCAATAGTGTTCCAATTATAGACGTCTCAAAATCGAAGGCTTCTCAAAAATTTAGGATACAATAAATCCTTTGAATCCACTTTTAACGCAAGAAATTTAGTTTCCAATTTAATAGCCTAAATATTTAACATTAGATTTCATTCCTAAAAAAATCATTCTTTAAATCTAACGTAATTGCTGTTGTTAAAATTAAACTATTATTCACCTAAAATTTTGAAGCGTACATGAATATTGTACTTCTAGAGTATAATTAAACAATAAATCATTGATTCCTAATCTGAAAATTTTAATTCGACGTTTTATACATAGCTCGAATATTTCATGTCAAATTTTCTGCCGAAGAAAAATGAACTTTGAATCTATGAAAACACGTTTATTGTTAAAATTAATCTAAAAATTTCGAAAGCATCCTATAGATTCAGATATCCTATTGTAGTGTAATAACAATATTGTAGTGTAAAAACAATAGAAAATATTCCGCTAATACGCGATGCAGTGAACAGATTACGTTAAAATTATGATATGAAATAATCGCGTATTGAACGCGCCAATATTTTGTGGCGGAATTGTTAGTAGAATCATAAAAGGTATTACTGAGATGGTACTATAAAGAAGAGGCGAGACTGCACTGCCTGTGGTTTGAATCGACTATAGGAGTAATACGTATGCCTTCGAGGCATCCTCTTAATTGGCGCGATACGACGCCGGTAACGAGAATAACGGCGCCATTGTTTCGCGCCGTAAGAAAAGGTAAAGGCTATTAGCGTGGCACGCGAAGAGGACTCGCGGATTTTCTTT